CATCAAATATTCCACACTGCATTAACTCACCATACACTACACACTCTATCATATCACCATACACTACCCACTTTATCGTCTCACCATACACTACACACTGTATCAACTTACCATACACTACACACTGTATCAAATAACCATACACCACACCCTGTATCAACTAACCATACACCCCACACTGTATCAACTAACCATACACCACACACTGTATCATCTAACCATACACCACACACTGTATCAACTAACCATACACCACACACTATACTGTATCATCTCACCATACACTACTCACGGTATCACCTCACCATACACTACACACTGGATCAATTCACCATACACTACACACTGTATCATCTCATCATACACTATACACTGTATCAACTCAAAAAACACTACAAACTGGATCTTCTCACCTACACTACACACTGTATCAACTAACCATCCACTGCATACTGTATCAACTAACCATACACTACACCCTGTATCAACTAACCATACACTACACAGTGTATCAACTAACCATACACTACACCCTGTATCAACTAACCATACACCCCACACTGTATCAACTAACCATACACTACACACTGTATCAACTCACCATACACTACACACTGCATCAACTAACCATACACTATACACTGTATCAACTCAAAAAACACTACAAACTGGATCATCTCACCTACACTACACACTGTATCAACTAACCATACACTACACACTGTATCAACTCACCATACACTACACACTGTATCAACTAACCATACACTACACACTGTGTCTACTGACCATACACTACACATTGTATCAACTCACCAAACACTACACACTGTATCATCTCACCTAACACTATACACTGTATCAACTCACCATACACTACACACTGTATCAACTAACCATACACTACACACTGTATCAACTCACCATACACTACACACTGTATCAACTCACCATACACTACACACTGTATCAACTCACCATACACTACACACTGTATCAACTCACCATACACTACACACTGTATCAACTCACCATACACTACACACTGTATCAACTCACCATACACTACACACTGTATCAACTCACCATACACTACACACTGTATCAACTCACCATACACTACACACTGTATCAACTCACCATACACTACACACTGTATCAACTCACCATACACTACACACTGTATCAACTCACCATACACTACACACTGTATCAACTCACCATACACTACACACTGTATCAACTCACCATACACTACACACTGTATCAACTCACCATACACTACACACTGTATCAACTCACCATACACTACACACTGTATCATCTCACCATACACTACACACTGTATCAACTCACCATACACTACACACTGTATCAACTCACCATACACTACACACTGTATCAACTCACCATACACTACACACTGTATCAACTCACCATACACTACACACTGTATCAACTCACCATACACTACACACTGTATCAACTCACCATACACTACACACTGTATCAACTCACCATACACTACACACTGTATCAACTCACCATACACTACACACTGTATCAACTCACCATACACTACACACTGTATCAACTCACCATACACTACACACTGTATCAACTCACCATACACTACACACTGTATCAACTCACCATACACTACACACTGTATCAACTCACCATACACTACACACTGTATCAACTAACCATACACTGCATACTGTATCAACTAACCATACACTACACACTGTATCAACTCAACATACACTACACACTGTATCATCTCACCATACACTACACACTGTATCAACTCACCATGCACTACACACTGTATCAAGTAGACAGCTCTCTTCTATCAGAAGGAGTCCACGTATTCATACAGATACAGATACAGAACTCATCATACCCTACACACTGTATCAACTCACCAAACAATCCGGACTGTATCAACTCACCATACACTACACACTGTATCATCTCACCATACACTACACACTGGATCAATTCACCATACACTACACACTGTATCAACTCACCATACACTACACACTGTATCAACTCACCATACACTACACACTGTATCAACTAACCATACACTACACACTGTATCAACTAACCATACACTACACACTGTATCAACTAACCCTACACTACACACTGTATCAACTAACCATACACTACACACTGTATCAACTCACCATACACTACACACTGTATCAACTCACCATACACTACACACTGTATCAACTCACCATACACTACACACTGTATCAACTCACCATACACTACACACTGTATCAACTCACCATACACTACACACTGTATCAACTCACCATACACTACACACTGTATCAACTCACCATACACTACACACTGTATCAACTCACCATACACTACACACTGTATCAACTCACCATACACTACACACTGTATCAACTCACCATACACTACACACTGTATCAACTCACCATACACTACACACTGTATCAACTCACCATACACTACACACTGTATCAACTCACCATACACTACACACTGTATCAACTCACCATACACTACACACTGTATCAACTCACCATACACTACACACTGTATCAACTCACCATACACTACACACTGTATCAACTCACCATACACTACACACTGTATCAACTCACCATACACTACACACTGTATCAACTCACCATACACTACACACTGTATCAACTCACCATACACTACACACTGTATCAACTCACCATACACTACACACTGTATCAACTCACCATACACTACACACTGTATCAACTCACCATACACTACACACTGTATCAACTCACCATACACTACACACTGTATCAACTCACCATACACTACACACTGTATCAACTCACCATACACTACACACTGTATCAACTCACCATACACTACACACTGTATCAACTCACCATACACTACACACTGTATCAACTCACCATACACTACACACTGTATCAACTCACCATACACTACACACTGTATCAACTCACCATACACTACACACTGTATCAACTCACCATACACTACACACTGTATCAACTCACCATACACTACACACTGTATCAACTCACCATACACTACACACTGTATCAACTCACCATACACTACACACTGTATCAACTCACCATACACTACACACTGTATCATCTCACCATACACTACACACTGTATCAACTCACCATACACTACACACTGTATCAACTCACCATACACTACACACTGTATCAACTCACCATACACTACACACTGTATCAACTCACCATACACTACACACTGTATCAACTCACCATACACTACACACTGTATCAACTCACCATACACTACACACTGTATCAACTCACCATACACTACACACTGTATCAACTCACCATACACTACACACTGTATCAACTCACCATACACTACACACTGTATCAACTCACCATACACTACACACTGTATCAACTCACCATACACTACACACTGTATCAACTCACCATACACTACACACTGTATCAACTCACCATACACTACACACTGTATCAACTCACCATACACTACACACTGTATCAACTCACCATACACTACACACTGTATCAACTCACCATACACTACACACTGTATCAACTCACCATACACTACACACTGTATCAACTCACCATACACTACACACTGTATCAACTAACCCTACACTACACACTGTATCAACTAACCATACACTACACACTGTATCAACTAACCATACACTACACACTGTATCAACTCAACATACACTACACACTGGATCATCTCACCTACACTACACACTGTATCAACTAACCATACCCTACACATTGTATCAACTAACCATACACTACACACTGTATCAACTTACCATACACTACACACTGTATCAACTCACCAAACACTACACACTTTATCAACTCACCATACACTACGTACTGTATCAACTCACCATTCATTACACAATGTATCAACTCATCAAATATTACACACTGTATTAACTCGCCGTACACTACACACTGTATACACTCACCATACACTACACATAGTATCAACTCACCATACACTACGTACTTTATCAACTCACCATACACTACAAATTGTATCAACTCACCATACACTACGTACTTTATCAACCCACCATACACAACGTACTTTATCAACCCACCATACACTACACACTGTATCAACTCACCATACACTACACACTGTATCATCTCACCATACACTACACCCTGGATCAATTCACCATACACTACACACTGTATCAACTCACCATGCACTACACACTGTAGCAAGTAGACAGCTATCTTCTATCAGAAGGAGTCCACGTATTTATACAGATACAGATACAGAACTCACCATACCCTACACACTGTATCAACTCACCAAACAATCCGGACTGTATCAACTCACCATACACTACACACTGTATCATCTCACCATACACTACACACTGGATCAATTCACCATACACTACACACTGTATCAACCCACCATACACTACACACTGTATCAACTCAACATACACTACACACTGGATCATCTCACCTACACTACACACTGTATCAACTAACCATACACTACGCACTGTATCAACTAACCATACACTACACACTGTATTAACTAACCATACACTACACATTGTATCAACTCACGATACACTACACACTGTATCATCTCACCTACACTGTACACTGTATCAACTAACCATACACTACGTACTTTATCAACTCACCATACACTACGTACTTTATCAACCCACCATACACTCGTGATCGGAGACCACACACAACATACACTGCGAACCTAGAAGGATTGCCCACAGTAGTTTTCTATATTCTCTTCCAAACGGATTTGTTTCGAAAAGAAAATGTATTTCAGATAGCTCAACCTACTTATATTAGTAACGAAGAGAATCGGCACTAATTTGTAATGCAGTTCATTTGGAGCTGTATGAACACACCATACACCGGATTTGTTTTCTACCTATAACTCACCGTACTTTCCGAGTGGTGCCCTTAACTAGTTGTGCCTGAAAAAAGTCCGAAGTTGTTCTTTAAATTTTGGCGGAATTTCATTCGACGTGGTATGTCGTTGTAAATGACGTCACAATAACAATAAACATTCTCATTTCCTGGTTTATGCTCCTGTTTTCGTCTGCTTTATTGTTAGATATTCACTCCACATTGACGACATAAATTGGACTACGAGAGACAATCGGAAGCCAGCCAGCCAGCCCATATCCTGCCTGACTTCATAGTGCAAAGGTCAACACTAGCGGTCGCAAGATTTTATCATATAACTCTTACTTGTATATTGCCAATTCAAGCAAAACAGGTTAGTAGGTGTATGTGGATATATATAGAGCAATAAGTACCCTAGGTAGGATTATAGGACTGGTCATCTCCAAACATCGGACAGTCTATTGTAGCTGATTCAGCTATAATTATCCTCGGTCATAGCAGTATAATGATCTAGCGATATAGTACTACGGATTTAACCTAAGACACTAACGCGGGAGGGGTCAAACTTTGTCCCTAGGTCGAGTGTGGGGGATGGGGTGGGGTTACATAGCTTCACACTGATCACAAAATTCTTTGGACACTGACGTTGCGAATTTAATAATAGTATTTGGTAGTGATGTACATGTATTGATGATATGTTACATGTAGTATATTGATAGGAGATCATATTATGTCGCGTGTTACTCTGTGGTATATTTGTAAATAATTTGCAAAATTTTGAACTAAACAATCATCAATGTTGTAGACTACTCAACTGTACGCAATTTCGTCATGTTTCGAGCTCCACCAACCAAGGCAAACTTTTCACTGAAACCCTTCGGAACGGGAAACGCTATAAGTGCGTGGAAAGCAAGCATATGTTGCTTTTCGTTGTGAATAATGCAATGCTTGTTTAAAATAAGTCTTGTTTCGAAAAGGAGCGAACTGCATTCAACAAAATCTTCAAGGCAGAGATTACAAGCGCGACGTGTGCGTTTACCTGCATAGTGTAAAATGGTAATATTCGCGTGTGGAAATAATCGCATTGTGACCTTTAAAACTGATTGAGGTGTGGAAACTTTCGCGATATCAATAGTTCTGAATTTCTATATATTCTAGTTATCTATAATTTATGAAATCTATGAATAAATGTTGCACACTAATGAACATGATCAAAAACATCAACCTTCATATTACACAAAAAGTAGCATATTTTCCTTTGAGATCTTGATGACGTTCTTTAAGATATGATGGCGACCATAACAGTTGTACATAGTATTCATCAATCTGCGTCTTTGGAAACCCCGTGCTTTTTTTTGTCTGCCAGAAGTCGTCATCTATCACGAAAATGATGATATTCGGAGCAAGTTCTTAAATACAGAATACACTGTGACATTTGAACATCGTTAGGGCTGAAGGGAATTCCGAAGTTACTGTGAAGAAAAGGAAAGTTAACGATCGAAAGCGGGACGCGCTTATCGTACAGCTTTCTAGTGGGCTCTCCCTGTTGGTGATGTTAAAAGTTAAGATCAAGGAAAGAGGCTGATGTAGAAAAATCTGTTTTGTCCTTGATTTCAACCCCAATAGGTATATTCGATCGACGTTGTCATTAATTTCCTTTTATCAACAAAGAAATATCAAACCCTCGGGTTACTATTTGGTTGTCTAACGGCTCTGATTAGACAACTAAAAATATCACCCCTTTATTTGGAGATGTCTCTGTTACATTCTTAAAGGGCCACACGCTGAAGTAACTATTTTTTTGTCTTTTTTTCAAATACTACATAAACATATCAAGTGAGACTCCTTATGGAAAATAACGATCGGATTTGGCGGAAATAGATTCATAAAAATGATTAAATCTAAGATAATCATCGGTATTTCTACCTGTCTGACCAACGTTTTGTTCAGGGATTTCCCTCTACCAGCGTATGCGCATTGCACACCATTTCTTTGTAAACAAACTGAAGTAAGCCAAAAAAAAAGTGTTGTACCGTGTCAGCTACGAAGCGAAAAGTTGTCAAATGGTCAAAAGATAGCGCAAGGAGTACGTTACGGAATCATTATTACAGGTGGGAAGTTTTCAAAGGAGAAAATAACTGCCCTAGCAGTTAGTACGGTGCATGTATTCTACCGGATAGCCGGTTAAGCTGAAATGGAATCGACAGAAATGCTAGCGCTGTTTATGTTATGAATAAATATTTAAAACTATTAACCTCGCTAGTATCTTTGTGTGAGTTTGTACACAGATGAACTTATTTTGATATGTCAATGGGCATGGTTCGGAGAGAGTTTACTTTGTGTTTCTATAATTTTACAGTGGTTTATGCGAAAGGAAGGGATAAGTGACTGGTTACTTTGATTTTGTCATGAGGCTCCCCAAGGGTTAACTGTTGTGATAGCCCCGGCGTATTCTGTCTCTGTCGATACTCGTGATCGAGGTCAAATGAGATACGTGCGCTTTTAGATTTACATAATTTATAATATTACCGGGTTCAGTAAAATGGTATGATTTAATCATATTGCTGAATTGAACGATTTTTTTGTGTTTTTACATACAAGATTTAAATTAGTACTAATATGAATAACCGGTTTCCTCTGGCGCAACGACGCAATAGTAGGGTAGTTTTACAGTCGCCACCTCCCAAATTCCTGGAGGTTCCTCCGAAATTCCTGGAGGTGAGGAATCTGGGAGGAGGCGACTGTAAAAGGGATTGAACTTTGTGGAATGTATGACGCAATGTCCCTATAGGTAAGGAATATGTGACATCATAGTAAACAAGATTGAACTTTGCAGAATGTATGACATGAGGTCCCTCCGAAATTCTCTGGAAATTACCCGTATCCTCCACCTGTCGAGGGTATCCTTTGATCTAGATATACATAGAATGTGTAACGCTACAGGGTAGAATGTGCGGAGGGATTATGTGACGCACAATAGGAAAGAATGTGTGGAGGGTGTTTGACCTAGACATGTTTGAAACGTGAAACGTCACAGTGTCGAGGGGACATACAAGACTGAACATGTCCACAACAGACGATGTTGTAAGGTCTCCCCTTTCATGCTATTGTTAGACTGAACACATCCCGAATTAAAAATAGAACTATCATATGTAGAAGTCGTGTATCAAAATGTAGAGGTAAAGGTTGTTATTGTAAGAAAAGACATGTTCTCAGTAACCCAACTCAGTCAAGCTTTTGAAATGATGTTATCAGCAAGAAACAATTTTCACACTCCGCTAAACTAAACACTTTAAATTCTGAGCCCGATGTATCGCACTAGTGACATTTCAAGGGTTATAATTATATAACCTTAAGGCCTAAACATAACCATATATACAGAGAAAAGTTTGTCCCAGCAGCTTATTAGGTTAGAACGTTAGGCTAAAAATCTAGGATTCAATTCCCTATGTAGCCATTTGATTTATCAAATATAATCAACTTTACAATGAATCACACGAGAAAGTATTTAAAAGATGTTATCACCAGGATACTCTACTACAAAGTATATTTCAAGTCAACCATGGAACAGAAATGTGTGTGAAAAACTTTCGCTATACCTACTCCAATGAACATGAGAATAAAAATGGACACAGATTGAAAGTTTCTAAACTAACAAATTTAATAATCAACAAAGTTAAAGTTTTCACATAATTCTACAAAGATTCAAATGATAGTTAACAAGGCACCATTGAGTATTTTCTAGCATATAATTGCAATAATCAAATTAACCTGATAATAAAAACACACACAGAATGAAAGTTTCTAAACTCACAAATATAATAATCAACAAAGTAAAAGTTTACACATAATTCTACAAAGATTCACATAATAGGTATCAATGTTTTTTAGTTTGACATATAATTACAGCACAATTTAACACCATCGCACAACCCGACTATTTCTTTATGACAGTTTAGATATTGGCACAGTGAAAACAAATGGAATATTTGTGTATAAAAACTTTGACATATTTGTTTCAGTTCAATCAGAGTATTTCTTTATAACAGTTTGGATATTGACACAGTAAAAACAAATGGAATATTTATGTATAAACACTTTAACATATCTGTTTTAGTTTGTATATGATTACAACAACAAACGTCTTTTCAAGTTAAATTTTTAACAGGAATGAGTTAAATTAAAGTGTTTTGTTAAAGAAATTGACACAAAAGTATGATGACAGACATTTTATAACATATTTTTATTCAAAAGTATACCTACTTTCAAATAAAACCTCTGACAGATGTGAGTTAGTTTAATATTCACAACATTTGTAAAACAATTCAATCAAGAAACTTTACGAAAACGGATTTTTACATAGTATGCGAGTTTGTATTAGCATTTATGAAGATTTACAACAACGAAAGTCTTTTCAAGTTAAATTATTTACAGGTATGAGTTAAATTAAAGTATTTTGTAAACGAAATTGACACAAAAGTATTTTGACACACTTTCCATATCATATTTTATGCAAAAGTGTACCTATTTTTAAATAAAACCTCAAACAGATGTGAAAAAGTTTAAAATTTTCAGCATTTGTAGAACCATTTAAATCAGAAAACGTCATGAAAAAAGGTTTTTACATGGAATGTGACAGTTTGTTTGATTATTTAAAAAGATTTACAAGAACAAAACTCTTTTCAAGTTACATTTGTTACAGGTATGAGTTAAATTAAAGTATTTTGTTAAGGAAATTGACACAAAATTATCTAGACAAACAACTTTTCATATGATATGTAAAAGCAGTGAACAGCTGTTTCTCAGGACTGGATGGTGGTCTGACCGGTGGTAGCATCGTAATCTAGTTTTATGGTGCTACCTCCTACGGGTATTCCGTCTACATAGAGACCAATGGATGTTACATTGAATGGTTCGAAGAACCATGGGTTTTGATCGTATGCTCCTGTGATGGCGGTTGCATCGACAAATCCGACGGTTACAAAATTTGGCCTCATTCCTTGAAATATGTTGTCAAATGTAAAACTGGTTCCTCCGGCGGCAAGAGTGCCATATTTTAGTACACTTTCTGTAAATGGATATTTTGCAGTAGTTGTTGCTAGGGCTTGACTTTGGGCGTAGATGACGGCAGGGTTCACTTTAACTTTAGCAATACGTAGTCTAATATCTTCAAACTCGATCTTATATTGAGGGGTTTGTTCGCCGGAAAGTAAGCAAAACTCTGGCTTTGATCGGTACATC